CTTCAATAATCCGTAATGACCATTCAACGCAAGCAAGCAAACAAAGCAAACCGTTTAGCGGCGACATCATCTCGGATAAAAAAGCGACAGTCATGATGAGAATAGACTTAGCACGAGGGCAAATCGAGGGGTATATATGCATCACATACAGAGTATTCTATTCACATCTAGCGAATTAAGATTGGGGATCTTGTCCAACAAGTCAGCGGGCGTTCTAGACGCAGATGAATGCTTTGTTTTCGGTCGCATCATTATCTGCAATAGTTCGAAGCGGTGTTTAACCCTCGCCGGCCGAGAAGGAGGGGTGGATGCCGCCACCATGTATTTTTTGCGGTAGGTAGCTCAAAGCACACTGAGAAGGCTGACATTTCATATACCTTACATTTGATTCAAGCCGGATCATTTGAAATCAACCACGTTTTCAGGTCAGGTCACTTAACCCGCGCCCCGTTGGGGTTGCCGAGCAACGCGCCCTTCTGGGGGGGGCAATTTGCCCCCCCCAAGATCTCGAGAACCACGCAACATAGTGACAAGCGGCAAACAGTGTTAGATAGCCCCAATAAGGAACTACCTTGTGACCCAATTTCATTGACCTAGGTCAAACTGATGACGTCAAAGGTCAGGTCCAATGTCGAATTTTCACCAGTTACAGGCATTTCAAGAAATGCGTTGTAAAATTGAGTAAAATGCATTTCATTGAAAATCATCGATTTGGAAATGTTCCTCAAACACATATTTTGCTATTTGAGGTCACTGATACCAGTTCAGGTCACAGAGGTCAGGTCACTGAGGGTCACAATATGAAAATATTCTGTGTTGAATGTTTTATGCTCCATTTTATTTACCAAATACGATTATGTGGGTCAGGCAACCTTTGGGGTCAGTTAAGATTATGTTCTGGTGAAGGTCAGGTTAAGGTCAGGTCAAATAGGGTCAAATTTCAAAGTTGATATTTTTGCACAAAATGGGTATCGATTCGATGCAGCTCGTCACGGGGAGTTCAATGGTGGTCTTCGTTTTGCGCTACGTAGTCTAGAATTGCTAACAATTGAGTTAAAAAATTGACGTCATCAATTTTGAACAGTTTTTTTTTTCGCTATAACTTGGCCAAAAAAGGAGGTATCGATCTTAAAATTGGTATGTATATAGAAAGGCTCAGGGACTATCACATATAATCCGTTTTTCGAAGTTCGGAAAATTTTCGTATTTTTTACGTTTTTCTTTTTTTCATTTTTGGGGTCACAATCCCACAATTCTGAAAATCCGAGATAGCAGTTTTGTAGTGCCGCTGTTTTTCTACATGACCATATAAAGAACTTTGAAATTGCTTGGTAACTGTAGCTTTTGGGAGCGTTTCAAGATTTCATGTTTTTTGCTCATTTTTGCTCGAACATGACCTCAGTTTGACCTCAATAACTCCTGACCTAAGGTGACTTAAGACTTGAAATTTTGTGTGAAGGTGTCAAATTGATGCCCAAAATGTACTAAAAATTTGACGGCGCTGCGCGCCGCCGTTTTCTTGCTATTCAGGAAAAACCACAGGCGGGGGCCAAATTGCCCCTCCCAGCGGGCGAGGGTTAACTATGACGGTAAAACTATGAGGTTTAACTACGACGGGTAAACCTCTGCACGGTTGTCGGTTATAAAATGATGCAAATCCGCAATGCACTTAGTGTCATATAAGCATAATGCGGAAATGAGGGTCATAGGAGTGCTTCGTCAATAACTACCGATCAAAATGAGCTGGCCAGTCTGGACAGCCATCAATGGACTTTGCAAGACTTGCCGAATCAAATGTTATGGAACATGTCCTCCTTTCAACAGCTTCTTGACCTGTGATGCCCTAACATGACATTGACCTGAGGTAAACATTATAAATTGCTTCACCTAAACAAAAAAGCATATAAATCGACGCGTCTGAGAACCAAAAACACTATTGTATCGAAATGACGATAATGCGACCATTTTTGCGAAGTTATTTACCAAAAACCGATCCAATGCCTTGGGGCCCTTGACTTGCCCTAAGAGGTCACTGATATTTTAAAATGGGTCGCTGCGTCACGTAACGACGCAAGCGCTCGTTTTTTCCGCGAGGCTCTAGCACCCAGCTCAATTATAGGAGCTAAACATGGGGTTAGGGAATCGCTCCCTTCTCAGTTCTCACTCGCTCTTTGGGCGAGATAGTGTTTGCAATTGTTGTTAAAATCTAGCATTTTAAGATTTAAAATGACCCATTTTCCCGCCCAAGTCTTTCAATTCAAGGTCATACAGGTCACGTCAGGTGACCTTACCTCAAAGAGAGTTCCTGTGCTCATCATATCCAAATACACCGACTAACCGATCGCTTTAGAGCTTTCAGCGATTTCGATGGGCACTCAGTAGGTATATATATTTGAAACGTTTACTTTGCAAGCTTGACATTGTTGACAGAAAGGCCGGATCAATTTTGAGATCGCTCAAGTCAATGGGAGAAAATTGAACTGCGCTTTTTTGGACGGAACGCATAATAAACACTCTGAAAACATGTGGTGCTTGATGAGCTAAAATACTGAATGAGAAAATTGTTTGTTTTGTTGGGAGCCATCTTTTTCGGTCTGAAAAGGCCATTGCAGAGCTGTGACATAACTATGGCTTGTGCGAAAAAAATGGCTAAAAAATTGGCTTGTGCGAGCCAGCGACAGTGATCTGCGGAAGCGAGACTGTTCCCGTGGGATCATTGCCCTGTCGGGACGGTCCAGTCGTCTCCCAAACGGTCACCCGAAGAGGATTATGTGTCCTGGAATGGATCCGACATCAACTACAGGTTAACTGGTGGGGTGACCTCCAGTCCAGAGAGGGAAGCATGAAGACTAGGGGCGATGCAGATTGGTTTTTCCTGAGGATAGCGAGGACGGAAGGAATCTAGCACCCTTGACCCTTCCTTATATTGAATGTATTTCAGGCTGTTAAATCTCCTAAGTGTTTTTTTTTTCTCGACATCGTCAAGGTGTCATAAATAAAAATATGAAATCCGGAAGGATAAATTAGATATAGAAATTGTGGCCAACAGAACATTATCAGCTGCGTTCAACATACTCGTAAGCATGATCACACACCCAGCTTACATATGAGCCATGTAATAATTATTTTTGATAGACATGAAATCATCTGAAGTGTTTGTAAAGTTCCACGATGCGGATCTAATATCCTGCTATGCATCATGACCATTTCTGGTCAAGTCATGTCTTTGAACATCGGCCAAATTTTTCAAATGACCTTTAAAGGTCAACATTTGATTCATTCGAAGCGTTTTGATAAGAGGAACACGAGGCTGGTAAAATTAATTTCATGCAAGTTTTAAGCTAAAAACTTTTAAGTGTTTGTGGGAAAACAATTGGTTATCTCATAATACCGATGGTAGCAGTTGTTGTTATTTACATGCTAAGCCGTTGACCTTAATTAAATCTGACAATATTATTCAGACATAGCGGTAAACGAGCTGTTTGTTGTGTTAGGTTAGGCTCTTTCGGTCGATTTCAGAGTGGGAAGGATGACAGGAATTAGAGGGAGACAGGGGGCCTGGGCGGGAGTCCTGGACCTCAGGCTGCGCTGGGGCCGAGCCCATCACGTGGGTTGGATTGCCCTGACACATGGATAGCCCTGGGCGGTGTTTCACGGTCCCGCGCTGCAGCACGCTGCGCTGCGCTGCTGCATTGTTGCGGCGGTTGATATGAATTCGGCTCCACGCTAACGTTGCGAGCTTCCGAGTCTGTTGATGTTTCCATGGAAATTGGAAACCCAATGCACCGATGCGCGCAACGCACCCTGTCCAAGCAAAATTTTACCATCGATGACCTCTGGTGACATGACCTCTGGCTCTAACCCGGTCTAAAATTGACTGAAGTATTTTTTTCTTTTTTTTGCCACTTTTGACGCTACTTCGAATACCACTTAAATGCCCAAAGCTGAGTTATAAGAATGATGCTCAATCCCCATTTCCCCTCCAACAGGGCGTGAGAGTCTAGGCATTCCTGTGGGGCACGAGCTAACAATGCCTATCTCATAATCATTGTGGCCATGCACATCTACTGCCATTCTTTAACATCGGTTTCGCTGCGCTGAGCGGTGGCCGTCCCGTTTGCTGGATTCTACAGCTGGCTGGCGGAAAGCGTTACCGGCCGCCCGTCCACCGCCCGCGGGCCGGACCGAGCGGTCCCGCTGACCCTACCTGACCTGAGCCCGGCGCGATATGGGACAGGCAGACGGGGGTTCGGCTCAGCGAAGGCAGCGCCCACTGGTGCTGGGGACTTTTTTAATAGACCTACTGTACACAAACGGCAAATCTGTGTCACTTGGTCAGGTTGATCTCGGAGCGTCATTCGAAAATATGCACGTGTAGTAGACGGCAATTCGTTATGTCTCAGTAGACGCCAGTTCGTTAGGCATTTTTCTGAATGCAGTCAAAGTTAGATTCATGTGGTTTGTGTCAATTTTGTAAGAATTTTTATTGTGTTACGATATAATTATTGCCATTACGTTGTTACCCACGTATGAATGGTCTATCTAAGGATTAAAATGTTTGGCTATAAAGCAACCTTCGATATTTAAGTATGCTCTTTATACGTTTATTGACCTTTATCATCGTGCTGTCGTATTTATCATGTGCACCTTGGGGTTTTCCGTGCGTCTACCTCCGTGTAGATTTTCCCCAATTACGTCGTACCTACAAACCTTCACATCCTCTGCCAGCCTTTGCTCATCATTATTTGTCATTATTTCCCGTATATATTTGTTGATATTTTTAGTCTTGCCTCCGTTGCTTCCTGTTCATGTAGTTGCCAGTTCACAGGAATTCGCATTAAAATCTCGATATAATTGAACGGAGTGGTTTATTTGACGTTATTAGGTGTGCATAGAAATATCGTTCGATTTTTTTTCTCATTAACTTATGTGTTGCCGTGTTGACGCCCCTTTGTGGAAGTTTTACAGTGTGTGACCGTTCCTTTTCTCTGTCTCTGCAGGCGGGGCTGATGGCTGAGGTGGCGGCGTCTCGGCCGCCGGCCGGCCTCTCGCTGTCGGCGGAGAACCTGCACGCGCTCGACCCGGCGCCGCTCGACGACCTGGTCGAGTCCGAAGTGATCGTCGGTGACGACAGTGACGACGAGTTCGCCTTCAACGGCGAGGTCAAGGACGCGGAGGAGATCTACATCCAGAACGGGCCGCGCGGACCGAGCATGACCGTCGGCCATCTGACCATCGAGCACAGCTACTGCACGCCCGAGCCGGACGACGAGCCGGCGGTGAAACTGGTCGACCCGGATCGGTTCAGCGATTTCTTTCTCATGGAGGAGTCGGCGGGTGGCGCCGGCCACCTGCAGCTGTTCTCGGACATGCGTCAGTGTGTGGCGGGCAGCGCTCTCAGTTACATGCAGGTGACGGGCGCGGCGGTGCTGAGTTCGTTGCAGCAGGCCGGCCGCCGGCTGGAGAGTCTGACAGAGGAGGACGAGTCTGAGGCGGCGCAGGAGCCGCCGGCCCGTGCCGTCTCCCTCCCCGCCCCCGTGTCGGCGGCGGCGCTGTCGCCACCGACGGGACGGGCCGCCGCCGCCGCGCCGCCAGTGCCCGCCGACGCCGCGTCGGGAGCGGACATGGCGGCGACGACACGCGACCGGGCGCCTGCCGGCGACGTGTGGGGTGGCGGGGTGGGCCGCGCGGCGCTCGATGGGGACGCTGAGCCGACGCCGGCCGTGGACAGTGGTAATGTGACTGAAGTGGGGCCTACCGTGGACGGTGGTGGTGTGGATAAGTCGGAGTCGTCAGCGTCGTCCGGTGTGGAAGCTGGGTCACAAGAGAAACAAGTGCAGCCTGCTGATGATAAAAGGTCAGAGAACTCTGCTGCGGCAACAGCAGTCTCCAAACCAAGTGAGTCGTCACAGTCGGACGGTACCCCTCCTGTGGATACCACAGACTCCACACAGCCTCAGAACGCGGGCAGTCCTAGTGACCTGACCCAGTCGGTCACTGCGAATAGCTCCGTCGATTCAGCCCGACCTGTGACCGACACAGCCAGTCCCACCGAGCCGACAGAACCGACCGGCTCCAGTGGTGGCGAAATCACTCAGTCGGCCACCCTCTCCAGTATCGCAGACATGACTCAGTCAATGACTGTACCCAGTCCGCCGGCTCGGTCCAGCCCACCGGCTCTCATGACCCAATCGCTGGGTCCGGTCAGTTTCTCAGACCCGTTCCATGTGTTGGAACAGCCTGCCGAGGCCGCTGAGGACCCACCAGAGGCTGTGAGTTTGGTGAGCCCCGTGGAGCCGGCCACCGCCATCTCCGGCCCGGTTAGTCTGGTGGGTATCGTCCTGCCGACGGCCGCCGCCGCGCCGCCAGCCGACGCCCCGGCCGATGGAACCCTCTGGGAATCCGCAGCGCCCGCCGCGCCCTCAGTCGACAATAACGCTGCCGGCGCGCTGCCCGTGTTGAAAATCGATGAGAGCGTTGAGCTGAAGGGCGAGGGTGAGCGGGACGCCACGACTTCGTCCTCGGATCGCTCGACGCCGCCGCGCACCGGTGGTCGAACGGCGTCCACACGGCCCGGCGCGGCCCGCGCCAGTCCGCGGTCCTCGCTGACAGCTCGCGCCCAGCAGGACCTGGCTAAGGCGCGCTCCTCGTCCACCACACGCGAGGAGAAGCGCGCGCTGTCCAGCTACGGCACGCTACCGCGCCGGGGGAAGAAGTCGCCGCCGTCCTCCGAGGCGGGTAAAAAGGAGGAGCTGCCCGCTGTGTCTGAAATCACCAGGAAGCAGCCGGCACCGGGAACCCGGCCCACTGTGAAACCGGCGGCGTGCGCCGCGCCTCTGCGACGCCGACCGATGGATAAGAAGATCTCTGAGTTGAAGAAGAGCGAGTCGGCGCCGTCCTCTGGCTCGGACCAGTCTAGGAGTAGGAAGCCTTCGGCCGAGGCAGAGTTAAAGAGCAGTGCAGACAAGTACGGCACTCTAACGCGCCGCAAAGAGCCCAAGTCTGCGGCAGCGGACAGTGCTTCAGCCAAGACGACAACGTTCACTGCCGAGGAGCTAAAGCGAGGAGCAGATACATTCGGCACCCTCGGCAGGAGGAAGAAGGCGCCCGCTGCGGCCAAGCCGGCGGCAGCTCCAGCTCGGTCGGAGGCTGCAGCAAAGCCTGCGGCACCAGCGGTGGCGAGTAGTTCTCGCCCTGCCTCAGCCTCCACCAAAACCACCAGCCCCCGACCGGCCACCTCCGCGTCTGCCGCGGCTCGGCGGCCGGCGGCGGCTGCCCGGCCGCTGGCCCGGCCGGCCGGCAGGACGACCGCTGCCGCCTCAGCCGGGAAGGTGCGCGAGCGAACCCTGATCTGTCTGGAGACTGGCTGTCAGACAGTGCTGACCGGCGGCGACCTGAGCGCGGCGGCCAGCCTGCGACCGCAGCCGGCCGTCACCTGTTTGGAGGCGGCGTGTCAGGCGGAGATTGCCAGCCCGCAGGCTGCGCAGCAGGCAGCCGAGCTGGCCCGGCTGCAGGCGGAGGCGGAGCGCGCGCGGCAGGCGCAGGAGCAGCTGAAACAGATCCAGGTGAGACCGCAAACTGTCCTAATGTGAGCTAGAACTGTCTCTCTTACCTTATGCCTAGCCGTTTTATGTGGATACTAAACTACAGGCTAGTTGAGGCCGTATTCGTTTCCTTCATTATGAAAGAGACATTAAAATTTGTTGTATGGGTAATCATCACGAGTTGTGCTCAGTATGTTTGTACTCATTCATAATCATCCCATCCCAACGCTTCGCTGAATCTGTTTTGTAACTGAGTGGATGAGTTTTGGAACTATTTGCGGTAGACACTAAGTAGAACGGGCAGCTAACACGGGCTGGCGTTTCTCACGCGGTGTCCGCAGTAATGGAATCCATTTAGTTTTTCATCTCGATAGACACCGCTCAATGATTGTGGAGCGGGAAGCTATTAGCGGTCAATTTCCCGGTTTTCCGTTCCGTGTCATGTCTAGCGGGCTGACACGCTTCAGCTGAGTGGGCGGGCCGTTGCTCACATACCGTTCACAATAGAACCGTCGCCTACTGTTCCTCTGTCCGCCCTTTGTGGTAGCAATGTGGCGATGCAATGTGTTTATGCGGTGTACTTTGTACACAGGACAGTGACTTTTGGCGGGGATAGGAGTAACAGCACAGTGCACCTCTGTCAGTCACCGCTCGCCTTGTGCGTGCGCGTACACGTGTGCTGTGTGTTTGTGTAATGTGTTTGCGTGTCTGTGTGTCGTTCATAGGGCGATTATCGTTTCTGCGAACGGTGCCACCGCCATCCCACGTCGCTCTGTCCCGCGCACGTCGTCCTAATTCCGTTACCGGCGGCTGCTGATACCGTCATTGACTGTCTGTATGTCCGTCCGTCAATTAGTTGGTAATTGAACGCCATTACCGACACCGGCTGAGCGGCCCGAGACGGCCTTCCTCCATCATTGTGCCGCTCGTCGTGTCTGACGTGGTGCCGTGTCTGTTGTGTGGTGGCCGATATAGCGTGGGTTGGACGTGGCACCTCGCTGGTTGACTGTTTCGGTACCGTAAAGTGGGGCTATTTGAGACAGTGGGGCTATTTTAGACAGTAGGGCTGTTTGAGACAGTATTTAAAATTGCTATAAAATAAAAAGCATTTGAAATTTATGCTCAATTTTTGGCTAGGCGATTTACTGCTCGATTCCACACCTCACTGAAGCAAAACATCACAAAAGAATCAAACGATCTTCATTTTATAGCGATTTTAAATACTGTCTCAAATAGCCCCACTGTCTCAAATAGCCTCACTTTACGGTACCTACCTGGTGTGTCCATGCTACTGTGTCTTCGTTGACTTGGTGCTAACTGTGGTGGCTGTACTCCCCGTGCCTGTGTCACTATCATTGTCTTCGTTGACTCGGCACTGACTGTGGCGACTGTCCTCCTCGTGCCTATGTTGACTGAGTTCGGGCGTGGTCGGTGGACCCGCGGAGTCTCGGCGTGGTGTCCGTTCTGGAGATCAATACTGTGAACCGTCGGACAGCACTGCGGCGGTGACGGTTCGTCGGACCACGGACCGGCTTCAGGGGGGGGGGGGGGGGGTTGCGCACAAGCCGACTGACCTCTGGTCACTATCCTGGTGATGCTGGTAGTGACGGGATCGGAGTGGCGGTGAGAGGGGGTCGGGAGAGGGGTTCGTTTGGCTCCGGCCGCCGACACAGAGGTCTGTCTTTCGTCATCCCGCGCTGCGACTGTCAGTAGCAGCCGCCTGTCTGTCGGGACGTCCGTCCGTGTGTCAGTGTGGTCAAATGCCTGCGTCAGATGTCACTGCCTGGCGGGACCCTTCCACCGTTCTACGATAGCCGACCGGTGCTGAAGGCTTACCAGGCTCCGTGGGGGCTCGCTCCTACCAACTCTGAGTCAATTGCTCCCGTTATTTGAAATTCCGCAGTTCCGTTCTGGGTGTGGGACGTCCCAGCTGTGACCCAATCTGACCCATTCACCCCTTAGCCGACTGTGGGGGTGATCACAGGGTCTGGGCAGGGAGGAGGCGGAGCAGGGCTCCCGGGAGAGCGAGGGCGGCGCACGGGGGCACTATCTGACAGCTGCTATGGCCGGCGCGCCGCCCGGCGCCCGCTCGCTCGCTCGGTCGCTCCCTCGCGTCGGTAGGCCGGTCGCGTCAGCTCGTCCCGCGTCTGGCAGCGAGCGGAGTGGCCTGAATTACTGGTCCTCTCGCCCGGCACTGACCCGATCTGCCCGCCGGTAAAGGTCAGGGGCTGATTGAACTCCCGGCTCTCAGCGAATATCGCGAGCTGTTGCGTCGGATCAGTTTTACGGGCTCTTGATGTAATCGTGCGGTGATTTACTTTGAAATGGTGATTGGCTCTCACCCAGCGTATCAATCTACTGCTGCGACGTTTTAAAATTGATTGGAACTATTGATGTGACCGGAAATTACTCTAAAATGTGTTTGTTTTGGATCAGTTCATTCATCTCATGTCGAGCATGGCATCTTACCAATCTTATAATAAAAAAAATCAAACCCGCCCAAAGGTGTCAAACCGTTGGTTGACCTCACCCCTTCCGAGCCAAACGTCGGGTCTGAGCTAACCCGGGTGTGGCTCAAGTTTGTGCACCCCGGCTGCCGCCGGGATTGTGGTGTCTGGTCGGCCCCGTTGTTTATACCCGTGCCGTGAGCCATCAACACAGCGGGATGGTGTTTGTGTCGCTTGGTGACGGCCGTTAGTCCGTGTACTGCGGCGGCGGCCGGGGTATGGGTCGCGTGGTGTGGGCTCGGGTGGCCTACACTGCGGCATTGGTCGGAGTCTGAGCCGCCCACTGGCCGACCGACGCGGCGGTTTTTCGGGTCCGACTTTTCGGCAGTTTCCTCGGCCCGTCGTCTGCCGTCCCGTCGGTCCCGTTGACCCGTCGGCCACGTCGTCTGTCGGTCCGGCGGTCCCCGATGGCGCCAGCAGTAATTGTGTCGGCGACAGCGGCGGCGTCTAGGGGCGGAGCGGACGGACGGACGGGCGGCCCCGGCAGGGAGAGACGAGATGGGCTGACGCCAGGCGCTTCCGACACTCAGACCCTCGGGGGAGGGGGTGGTGAGGGTCGTCGGTTCGCGACACTCGACGACAGATACGGGAGCGGAACCGCGCGGAATGGGTTTCACAGATGGCGTCTGATCTACTAGCTGCGGGGAGGTATGAAGAGTTGGGATGACTGATGTGACTGGTCTGAATGTCTATAAAAAGATGACTGGTGGGGGCGAATGAGCTGAATTCAGACGAGCTCTGAGTAGTGCCTGACATAGCCTGCTAACCGACGCTCCCGATGAGTGGGTCCCTTTCGTGACCAATCTCGTGGCTCGTGCACTGCCGGAAGTTCACCCTCGTAAATTTCCCCTGAGCAGCTCCCCGTCGCGTCACGGCAAGCAGCACGCTACCTGACTCAGACGGGTTGCTAGTCCGATCACTATGCCGTGCGGTTCTGACGGACTGTAGGCTGCGTCACTATCCCCACCCCTGCGGCGCCGCTCGCGCCTGTGGGTCCCGCCTTGGCGCAGCGGCAGATGAGACATCATCCCTGCATTCATGCACCCCGGGGTTAGATTGCTGGCCGTGCATTTCTCTTAGCCCGCGGTTAGATGACGAATTGATACGGTATGCAATATGCATCCTCTCAGGAGATCCTAGGGGTTTCTTCGGGAGACTGATCTCATGATCAGTTCAGAAGTGATAGTGCTGATTACGGTGACAGCGAGCGTGTTCGTCTTTGTGAATTTTGAATTAGACCATCCGTGATAGGTGGGGTTTTGTCTTCTATAAATGTGAGCTCTCCTTCCGTGTCTGTAACTGTGGCTGATTGATTGTATGTACTCGTAACCCGCCACGATTTTCAGGAACTGTGTGACGGTGACTGGTGAAGTGTCCGTATTTGTGACATTTGAGCTACTCTCAATTGTGGTCTGTGAATGACTTGGGTTCTTTCTGAGAAAGAACTGTGGGCGGCAGATAATGACTGTGATGGTGACTGGATCTCTCACAGGAGGACCTGTGCGTGCCGATTATTTACTGTTACAGTGACCGACTGTGATTGACTCTCACAGGAGGAGCTATGGGCGGCGCGGCGCCAGCTCGAGGAGGAGCAGGCCGACAAACAGGAGGTGCAGACCGAGCTGGGCCGCACCACGGACCGCGTGCAGCACATGATGGGCCGTATGGAAGGCGTCGAACAGGAGCTGCTCCGTCACCAGGAGCACCTGCAGAGCGCCGAGCTGCGCGCCCAGCACGCCGACTCGGCCGCCGAGGCGCTCCAGCACGAGCTGGAGCTCTCGCGCGCGGCCGTCGCAAGGCTCTCGGAGGTAACGGAGGGTCACGGATGGCTGTAACGGGGATGGGGAGCAGGGGGAGGAGGTTAACAACAGGCCACGAATGGAGTAACGGTGGATCATGGATGACCGTAACAGGGGAGCAGGGATGTGGTAATGGCAGGTCACGGTTAAGAGGAGCGGCGGGTCTTGAAGGTAGGTACGAAAGAACTGCACTTCTTCTTGGTGAGTTAGGACACGTAGCAGTCAGGCTACTACACGGATACTGAAGAACTGTACAGGTCGCCGATGGGGATGGAATGGGAAATGGGAAGACGGTCAGTGTGAGAAAAACTACCAATTACCTGCTGAAATGAACTCGCCCATTCATGGTAACATTTATTTAAATAGCAACTTGGGCGTTCTTTAAACGGAAGCCACTGCGGCCAGCTCCCACACGCATGGCCACGCTGTTAGTGTGGCTGTTTATTTTGAGTCGTCCCTTTACCCATGACTCCGGCTGTGTCTAGGTTCACGGCGGGGAATGGATGGGTCGTGAGATGATAGTAACGATAACATAGTGCCGAGGTGACACTAACAAACCCACGGTCACGGGGGCGGGGGTTTGGGTGGTCCTGCTCTGCCTAGATTTGCGTTCTTATTTGGTTAAGCGAGCGTTTAGAGGGGTGCCCGGGGTCTAGGGGAGGACATCACTTCTGCAGTCGACTGCGTGAGCGCGCAGATAGGGTTTGGAGCAGGTGGACCGTCAGCTGGATAAATGCCATGCAGTGTGCCATTGTTGTGGGCGAAACACTCGCATCCTGTCAAAGACCCTGGAAGATAGGAGTAGCAGTACATCCATGTCTCAGCGTCTATGTCTCAATGTCTCGGCGACTGTGCCTCATTGATACTACTCACGTGTCTCTACTTTTCACGGAAATACTTTTCACGGTCGTTTTTGGCCAACTCCTGATGGGTCGGTCCTCCTATAACGGTAATTCCGGCGAAACGGAGCGGAATATATCTCCCGGGAATGGTTCAATTAGACGTCGCGAGCTTTCAGGAGCGTCGGCCTGAAGAAAGGTGGGGCTGCTTTTCCGAGAACCGGTCGTTTATTGCCGGTAGCTAGCGGTAAACGCCTTCGTCTTGTTTTACGGACTATTATTCGCGATTTACGAGAATGGGCTAGTCATCGATTTTGTCGGTATGTTTTACGTACGAGAACATGTAGAAGGTGGGGCCGTCTTTTATGGAAGTTCTCCCCTTTAATTAGATTGTAAATTTGGACCTTTTGTTGAGTTCATGATGCTGTATGGCCATTGGTCATTAGTCGATGATCCATGTGTGCAATATTCGCCTGCAAGATTATAGTAGCTGAGCTTTTGACGTAGTGTACGAGATCGATGAATGTGACTGCTTGATCGAGGGCTTCTCTAACCCGTTGATCAAGCAGCCACTGTGCCCTGACAGTGACTCAGTCAACGGCTGTTTATTGTCATTGTGACGCCGTCTGTTGTTCTGATACCGTAACGGAAGCTGACTGTATACTCGACCATCTCCACAGGACCTGGAGAAATCGGTGGCCGCTCAGAAGACACTTCTCCAGCAGGTACAGGAAACGGAGGCTGAGTCATGCGAACTGCACGAGTTCATGCAGCTGGAGAAAAACGCACTGGTTGATGCACTCAGGGAGGCTGAGAATGAGGTGAGGGTGGCAGCGGGCACGACGGCGCATGCGCGAACAGACGACGTCATCAGCGGAGTGAGAAGACCCGACGTAGACGGCAAAGACTGACGTCCGATGGTTGACTGAAACCGGCGTGGTAATCGCCGATGACGGACTGTAACCCTGAACGGTAACCACGAGGGACTGAGACCGTATCTGACGGTTTTGACTGCGAACTTACCAACTTGCATGACCGGCGGACTGACTATGAGGGACTGCTGACACCTCCTACACCGGGTTATGTGTATGCATGGAGCGGGACTGGTCGGTGGCGGACTTTCATTCTCTGACTGACAGACTCACTGACTGACGACTGGCATTGCCTGTTGTTTGGTGGTGGTGGACTGGATGGGAGACGCACACTCGATGGACTTTTATGTGACGCGGCTGACAATCGACAATCCTTCATGACATTTATATGCGACAATGTGGTCAAACGAGTTCACCTAGCCAAATGAATAGCCCACAGTTTGCTGTAACGATATAACATGACATGCCTTTGTTATTTCTAGCGAAATCAATACTTACATCATCGATGCCCGATGGATAATATTTCAGTGTCACCATTTCAAGACGCCGCTTATAAAATATTTTAAAACTGTGTTCAATATCTGAAAGTCAGGAACAGCATGGCTGGCATGATCTGCATACTGCGTAGCATCCGTGTCTCTTCCGATGCCTGTGACCCTCGCCCGGCAACTCCAGTGGCCACTGCTCCATCGGGACGAATTCACCAGACTACCGCCCTCTGATACTGACCTCTGACCCCGTACACAGGTGGCCAGTATGAGGACGGCCTCTGCCGCCGCCGAGGACGCCCTCAGAGAGAAGGAGGACCGCTGTGCCCAGCTGACCCGGATCTCCGACCAGAGGGCGTAAGTACACGGATGGGCACCGCTACTGGGTCGGGTCCTCTGGGACTCGCCTACTGCCGGTCCATCTGACGAGAGCAGGGTGGGCGGATGTCGCCGTTTTTACCTACTGCACCGCCGGTCATTTTGTTTATGTGTCTGGATGGTTATCCTCCTTGTCTTTGAGGATTCATCTTGACCTTTTTTATTGGAGTCCTTATCTCTAAGTAAACTTGCCTCACGTGTTGCCTGATAAAACCTGACAGCAATATCAGCGCTTATGTTTCGTTTGCAATTCTTATTGCTTTTTACTACATACCAGACCTAGCCACCGTCCAGACAGTCCACCTCACTCCCCTTTGTGTCGGTGTGTATCCCAGAGTCTCCCAGTGTCTCAGTCCGATATGTGCCGCCGTTTGCCCCAGTATCTCAGACTGCACTGTATGCTAGTATGCGTGTCCCAGTGCTCCATCGGACCTAGTCCGGCCTCGGCCTTTGTCCTCTCTCTGTACCCTAGTGGCTAGCCCGTCCGTGTCACCGTGTGTCACGGTATCCCGATCTTGACCAACTGTATGTGTGCCCCAGTGTCCTGTCCGTATGTTTGTACGTCCTCTCTATATTACGACACACCTCGCGCAGCCGAAAGGCGCAGATGGCCACACAGATGGTCGGGTGCGCGAGTCACAGCCTGTGACTCCGGTAACGGGTAGCACTCAGTGCCGACTACCGACCTCCCACATGTCGGTATGTGTGCGCTGTCCGCCCGGTCAGACCCGTTCTCTGTTGTTTGTCCCGTGACCTTCGACACTCAGCGACAGTGTGCCAATGTTTGATTTATCGGTTGTCCGAAACTGAGTAATGCAATGTTATCGTCAAGTTACTATCAAGGATATAGGAAACGAATTATCTCTTTGATCTTCTTTTATAAGTTTGCCATCGCTATCCCTACGTTGTTTGTGCTCCTCATCCTGAAGTTCACCTTTTGTCTCTCCAAGCCGTCGATATCCTCCGCGCACTATCCTCCCGCCCGTCCTCTACCCCCCGGTTTCCATCGGTTGATTGCTCTGTGGCCACAGCCGCCGCGGCGCCCTGGGCGGCCGTGCCTCGTTATGTTTTTGCCGCTGTGTGGTCTGACGTGCGGCGCCGGTGGTATTGTGTGTGGCCAGACGGAGCTCGTCTGGTGGCTGTGCCGATCGTGGATATCGAACGGAGTCACTCGGCCAGTGATGGATGGTGATGCGGTGATCATCCACTGTGCATATGATCGCCATCAATGTTCAGGTCCCGGTGTACGATGTGGGGAGTGATTGTAAGATGCTGCTTTTGGTCATGATTAATTTTCAACTGGTTGTCCAACTTTCATGGTCAGTGTTGACTAACGATGTAGTTAGTAACCGTTCACCCGTCTGACCGGTCAGGAATCAGCGCGGAAGGACGTCCTCCCTTCGTGCTGCTTTCCCTGTTATGACTTCCCTCTTCGTCCTCTTCCGTTTCTGGCTTCTGACCAGTGATGCTATTAGACCAGTCAATGGGTGCCACGGTGGACCTGTCGCCCCGACCCTGCTTTGACATCCCGTCTCGTTCACTAACTCTATGACCTCTGACCGGTGAGTGCACAGTCCTTAGTTCCGACCTCTGGATACCGTGACCTTACATTTTCTGCTTCTTCTGTCTCCAGGGAGGAGATGGCGGCGCTGAAGGCCGACCTGCGCCACGTGCAGAACAGAACCAAAGAGCTGCTGCTGTGTCAGGGGGCCGGGGTGAGCGGCGCCTCAGTCGCCCTCAGTCAGCTGGCCGGCCGGCTGGAGACGGCGCTGCGCTCCCTGGTTCCGGCCCACCTGCTGGCCGACCTGGACCTGCCGCTCTCCAGCTCCGTCCCGGCGCGGCTGGCCGAGACGGTGACGGCGCCGCGCCGCTCAGCCTCGGTGGCCGCCGCGCTGGCCGGCCCCCCGCGCTCCCTCTCACAGATGGTGCGCGCCCTGGATCTCCCGGCCGGTGAGACGCTGGCGGACGAGCGCTGCCCGCTCTCCGGCGGAGACAGCCTCCAGGAGCTGGCCGTGCGACATCTACTCGAGGGTCGGGACTCCCCCGAGGGCGAGGAGAGCTGCTCAGAGCGCGGCGAGGCGGCGGTCGGTGGGGGGTCCGGGCTGGAGGAACAGGTCACCCAGGTGGACCTGCTGGTGGAGAGGCTGATCCGGGCGGCGGCCACCCTCGGGCAGAAGGCCGTGGCGCAGACACCGTCACCGGCGGCCCCGGTGCCCGCCCAGGCGGCCACTCAGACCCCCACGCCGGCCACTGACAGGTGAGCAGGATAAGGGCGCCAGTTGGCGCGACAGTGTTCGATTGCCGTTTTGTTTTGTTTGTTTTGTTGGGTTAGACCCTTTCGGTCTATTGAGACTATTGCAGAGCCGGGAGGATGATAGGAATTTGGGGGAAACATTGGTCTGGGCAGGCACCCTGGTGAGTCGCCGCAGCTGAGCCCATCCGTTAGGACAGGCCGACCAGCCCCCCCCCCCCCCCCGCCCCCAGCACTTACTGCACCCGGTCACGGGTGGGCTCCCTAAAAGCAGCGGTGCGCTCCGAGGGCGCAACCCGCAGGTGATAAAGTTGCCTGTCCAGCCCGGATCGAGGGGTCGCGGCGTGGATGAGGGGATTTGAAATGTCCTGAGGATGGAAACGACGGAACGGGTGTCGATTGCCAGCGACGGGTGATCAGATCTATCTTAGCCTAGCCATAAAATTAAGTTATAATTGCTACTTGGTGCGTCTATTTACTGCTTTAAATTATCATGCAAGTCCAAAATAAAACGTGCGAGCTAACAATCACCAATGTCCCTTGTTTTATTCCGCTACATATTGCCGATACGCTTCCCAACGGTGACTGACGGTTTTATGTCAGTTTGTGACCCAAATCAGTTGTATTTCTGGCCCTGAATCACCAGCTGTCCAGTCCACAGTATGCCTCACAACGTATGCCCAAGTGTTCGCGCTCCACCTAACATTTGTCCATCTACTCATTCTACAGGCCCGCCCCCACGTCCGGCGACTCTGAACGGGAGCTGCGGGATCGGCTAGCCCGGCTGGAGGCTGAGAACGCCGAGCTGCGGCGGCGACAGGCTCCCCCACCGCCCGGCGCGGGCTCTGAAACTGAGGTACGGCCCGGTGCGGGCTGGACGGGGGTGACCACCGCGTGCAGGTGATGGGGAGTGGCGCAGCTGGCGCCTTACAGTGGCATGCAGACCGATGGTTCTGTGGTTTCTTGTGTGTGTTTCTGAGTCATGGTCAACATCATCGGCTAGTTTAGCAGTTTCGTGACATCACACCCTCGGAAAACTTGGTAGTGAATCAGGTTGGAATATTGTTACCGATATGCTTGATGTCTTTGTGCGTCTTGCGTTGGTCTCTGCGTTGCGGTCACGTGCGCTCCGCGGATACGCCGGGTGTCATTGTCAGCGTTGTGTTGACACGGCTTTGTATCACGGTGTCAGTGCTGACACGGTTGCATGCCACTTGTCTCCCCAGACAACCAGTCTGCGTCAGGAGCTTTCTAGGAAGGAGCGGCAGCTGGACGAGCTCAAACAAAAGTACACCAAACACAAGCAGATCCTCACAGAGAACGTCCAGAAAGCCGAGTCCGAGATTCAGACGCTCGACGAAATCATCGACTACGTCATCGTCGTAAGTCAAACTGTGCACGCGATGTGATAGTTCTGATATCATGCATCGTCGACTGTTATCCTTACGCATTAGTGGCTTAGGGAAAAGCGTTTTCCTGCCATGACATAAACGCTTACCATTTGTGGAATTTGAGCACGCTTCTGGAGTAATTTAACAGACTGTTATGCATGCAACAATTCATGTGAACATCCCAGTATCAGTGGTGATAAGGCTTCATAATCGCCAAATGTTCATATCTGATGTCTGAAATCGATTTCGGCACCCTCCACCTGGTAGCTTATTTTACGATAACACCTGGCGCGAAGGCGATAACTTTAAATCGGTGTAGCTGACGAAGCTTTCGGTGATATCATTTCGTGAAAACTAACGCGAGGTTTCCGAATATTGCCGTCAGACCACGCCAATGTTTCATCACTTTGTTCTTCAATACGACAGTGTTTTACTCCGCTTCTTGGACCCCTGATCATCGTCTCTGACCTGCCCGCTCTCCCTGCAGTCTCTGGGCTCTGTCCCAGAGGTGGTGCAGAAACAGTCCGTCCTCCGCAAACTGTGGATGGACCTGGACGGACCCAACAAGACCGTCGCCAAGACCAAGCTGAACGGGACCACGCCCATCAGCGATCTCAACGCCAACGCCGACATCGTCAAGGTTTAGACGGTCGGCGGTGACCGTCCGACGCTCTGTTTCCCACCTAGAGACTGTGAAACTCGCGACCGCGCGGGCCTTCTTCCCTCTCACCCTCTCTCTCTCCGCTCCGCTGCTCTGCGGCGTGCGACCAGTGGCCGAGCTGTGACTGATGACTGAACCGAGTGACTGAGTGAGTGGGAGTGATGAGTGAGGTAGAGTAAGGCGTGCGACGAGTGTTGGGAGGATGGTAGAAAGCCACCCTGTAGAGTGGACTCGCAAGAGAGCTCGTGCGTGCGACCGGCGGCCTGTGCACAGCTGTGAACGGTAGCCGGCGTTTGCCCTCCGCTGTGACAGCTCTGTGCAGCTACTGCAGCTGACAGGCCACCTGCCGGGAGCCGGCCGCGGCAGCGCTGTATTTTTGTCAGACGTGTGAGCGAGCGACTGGTGTGATGATAGGGCTCCGCCGGCCGGGCCAGAGCGTCGCCGGCCCAGTATTATCGGTCCCGCGCGGCGTGCGCACGTGTGTCTGTGTGTGGGGGGGAGTGTGGGCCCGCGCCGAACCAGAGCCGATATTCGCCCGAGTACATAGCCGCAGGCAGTTTGTTTTATGTTTGTGTACTTGCACTAGATGTTTACCGAGTTTATTTGCACGGACATGATTTAATAAATAAGTTTTCGATGATTTTCTTTATAAGACGTCACTTTGAAGCGCAGACATGTGAAAACGCTTGGACGAAACATAATCACAGGACAAATTTGCATAATACACTGTATAAGTGCAGTAAAATGCAGGCACAAAACAGTCAATTCTAATCGTCATTCTACGTTGATTCGACTGCAGTCAGGTCTACAAGATCGCATTGTCACACGCCCCTGTCCCGTCTCGTAGCGACCAGCGCTGGCGCGTCATCTATAGTGGAAGGGCCGGTACCTCTGTGAAGCCTATCGGCAGCAGGGCGGCAGCCGCGAGCAGCTGGGCAGCAGGTGTTTGGCGACGTGAGCGGCTTCGATCACGTTAGCTGTGCTGGCGCGCCGGCTGGCCGCTGGGGCCACCGACAGACTGGATGCCTTCATCTGAGAAAGAGATACAGCGTGACAGCGCACGGAAATCTCACAAGACACTATTCAATATTCGGGGAAGCATCAGAGGCGCAAGAACGGTCATAAAACATCAGGAATGATGTGTGAATTGCGAATCCACCACACATCAGACGTACCGAATACGTCATCAAACAATTTTATGAAAGACCTTCATACATGATCATGTTGTCATAAAACCGCACTGACAACAACCTTCGTCCTCAATGTCGTGACCATCTCCCCGTGACTGCCTTGCCAGCGTCTCACCTGCGGCAGAATTCCCTCTGCCTTCGTCACTGTGCCGGCTCGCAGGTTCTCCAGGTAGTCTCTGAGCATCTCCTGCAGCTGCTGGTTCTCCGAGCGCAGGTCTGCCTTCTGCAGCGCCAGTGCCGTCCGGTCCAGCAGCGCCGTGTTGTAGCGGCGCCAGAAGTTCTCCAGCGCGCTGTACTCGGTCAGAGCCTGGACACAAACGACGGGACAGCGGTCAGGAGATGGCCTCAGGCCGGGACAGATACTGGGCAGGGCCTAATGATAGGTACGGGGTGCTGAGGTAAATACTCAGAACAGTCACCATGACCAAGATGAAGGTTCCCGTGACGGCAATGCTAACGCCATTTTCTCAGCCAACATTTTTGTGTCAGTTGCTTCGTGTGCTCAGCAAGTTCTTTTTCCCAGCGGTTCCTGTATTCTCACCTCCGCCAGCGGCTCCTGCGCTCCGTTCTCACCTCAGCTAGCGGCTCCTGCGCTCCGTTCTCACCTCCGTCATCGGTTCCTGTGTTCCATCCTCACCTCTGCCAGCGGCTCCTGGGCCGGCTCCTGCGCTCCGTCCTCACCTCTCGGCTCCTACGCTCCGTCCTCACCTCTGCCAGCGGCTCCTGCGCTCCGTCCTCACCTCTGCCAGCGGCTCCTGGGCCGGCTCCTACGCTCCGTCCTCACCTCTGCCAGCGGCTCCTGGGCCGGCTCCTACGCTCCGTCCTCACCTCTGCCAGCGGCTCCTGGGCCGGCTCCTGCGCGGAGGCCTCCAGCATCCGCTTCTCTCGGTCGGTGAGCGGCGCCTCCCGGAACGGCATGATCTTCTGCTCCTCGGTCTCCAGCTTCCTGCAGCACTCGGAGAGCTTCATGATCTGGTCGGCGTCCCGCTCCCGCAGCTCCAGTTGCTGAGGATAGCGCAGACCGGCGGGACTGTTAGACGGGTAGCCAGACACACGACCGCAGCCGGCAGTCACGGCAAGGCACATTGTAAAAAAAAACGAAGAAACGTCGCCATTTGGACGTTAAAACAGCCCAGCGACGCCCCCGAGGATCATGTTCATATATGACAATAACTTCGCATCTTGATGGCCATGTCGATACCCTGACAACGAGTGTGACTCCGCACAACCTTCCGTTGTACTGTTCGACGTTCATAATCAAATAATACCCGTATCTCAATAAGCTGTGCAATGTGCATTGTGCATAGCCTTACTGGCCCCATGACCTGTACCTTGATGACCTGTCCGGTGATGACGGTCAGCTGTTTCATCCTGACGTCCTCCTGCCGGCGCTGGGTGGCCACGTCCGTCTTCACCCGGCGCAGGTACAGCTTCATGTTGTTGCGGTCCTCCTTCAGACTGCTGGTACGCCGCGAGTGCTCCTGGGCGCCGTCCACCAGGCGGGAGCGCAACTTGCTGATCTCGTCCTGGGAACGGGAGAGGTTCGGAGAGAAACACCGCTTATTATACGATAGGGCACCGCAGACACTCTAAGGACGATTCCTTCGCCAGCGACACAGAACAGTCGGAAACATGAAAGTATGAAACCACGGCCGACGAACTGGTCAGTAATTAATTAGTGTCCTAATTAGGACGAAGCTTTCTTATGAATCGCGTTTGAACAAACTTACAGAAAATGGCCAAGACTTTTACGCTATCAGATGAGAAGCCGATAAATCATAAAACCGACCTGAAGGTTTTGTATTTTCTTGGTCTGATTGGCGATAACTTCGACTGAGTTTTCCTCCCTGGCCTTCAGCTCATAGAAGGCCTTCCTTCTGCCCTCAGTCTCCTGTTGAGTAAGGTGGGGGTGGTAAACCAGTCATTCAGTCATACATAAATGGCATACGATAACGATAACAGTCCTAATGGAGACCAGCCGCGGCCGGGAGATATCGAATCCTTGCCACGTCCTCCCAGTCCCGTCCTACGCGGTGCAAAGATGACCCGCTAACCGCCCGTGACAGCCCCGAGGCCCGAACTCATTCATACCTCGTAGTAGGTGCGGAGCGTCTTCTGAAATCGATCCCAGAGACCCTCGATCACACTCTCTAGGAACAGCTTCAGACCCTGGCGCTCCTCGATGTTCTGAAACGCGGCGACCGTGGTCCGTCAGACACAAAACCACGGGTGAAAATTACATGAATCGATAAGCATATAAAATAAGTTACCAGTGCTTGAAAATATAAAAAAGAAATACTTCCATTGTCAAACAGTGTTGATGCCTCCAAAATAAACCTACGGTAACCCATGGCAGTGTCGGTATTTACTCGTATCTGCGTTGTTGGAATGAGCGCGGTGTTCATTTTCACCGCTAACATCTCGTTCCCTTTGCCGACACCGTACCTTATTTTTGACCTCCTCCTTCTTGCTCTGGAACTCGGCGCGGGCCTCCTTGTCGGCCTCCGACATGTCCGTGTCGATTTTGTACAGGATGTCGCCCAGTTTGTCCATATCAGTAGTGTGCAGCTCGGTAATGCCCTTCATCTCCCGCTCGTACCGGTAGTTGAGCGTCACCAGCCGCTCGTCAAAGGTGGTGCGAGCCTCCCGCAGGTGAAGACGATGGCCGTCTGTCAAGCAAGCAAACAACATGGTCTTCGCTGCGATGCGATATAAAAATTGTCCCGTGCTGTTGTCCGGTATCCGGAATAAACGGAACATAGCTAAAACACGGCAACAAGCTCCCAAAATACTAGCTGTCTCCGAATCATGACGGTAGACACGCTTAAACTTCGGTCAACCATCGCCAACCCTTACGAACATACGTAGATAATACACCCCACACGTACCGACGATGCGCTCCAGGTTTTCGATGTGCGTGCGGACGGCGATGTTGTGCTGCTCGTCGCCGTCCTCGATTTCTTTAAACAGTCGCCGGATGATCTCGTCCCGTTTGTCCAGCTGCGATTCGAACACCTGACGCAGTGTCTGTGGAGCCATGGAGACGTGTTATTCGGCGGCGCCGGGTCACAGCAGCAGGACGATATTTCCGGCACAACTCAGCTCATTTTTGGGGAATCACGTTAGAAAGCCGTTTAGTGAGAAAACTTAGCAGTGAGTCTGTGACATTCTGGATGGTGTACGAATCATTTCCTCACTTTCACTGCTCACACGGTTACCCCTCCCCCCCCCACAAACAAACATTTCGGAAAGGCTAGCTAGACTAAGCAGTAAGTGTGGAATCATTATCATGCCACAAATGAAAACGACTGTTTCATTAATACTTTCGGAAAAGTCCGAATGACGCTTGGGCATAAAACGGAATAGTCTTTGGGTCAACCGACACCGGCACCGCAAAGTAACACCGGATTCCGAACGTTGTGGATGCTCACCTCGATTTCGCCGATAAGTTCCTTCGCTTTTAGATCCCTCATAATTGTTCTCCATCTATCGTTGAGCTTGTGAGTGTTGGTCTTGGTCATCTCCTCTTCCTTTGTAAGTTTGATCTGAAATCGGCCGAATCATGCATCAGGTTCAAACTAAGTCCGAACAATGCGAATTAGTCATTAATTTCATTGAATTACAAATTCATTGAATTACAAATAAGCGTTGCAATGCTTGCTTTTAACGAAAACGAGATAGATAGTTGTTGGCAATCTTATATCGAAAACGTTTAACGGAACGAAATGATCATGATATTTTAACACGCGCAGTGGAAGGGGGGAGGCGGATTTCGCCCACCCCTCCTGTTTTTCGCCAATAACTCGCGCCGCAAGCATAATATCAATGTGAAATTTCGGCTACCTGTCCAAAATTGAATTTCGGATCTTCTAGTGCAAGAAGTAAGAAAATCGGTTCACAACTTTTCTAGTAATAGCGGTGTAAAGTCAAACATCCTGCCGCCGCGGCGGCGCGGCGGCCGGCGCTAGCCGTTACGCGCCGCCTGAATTGTAGACTGTGCCGGGGCGGGACGGTTCCGTCTTTACATCGCGCTCCTTACCGCTGATTATATTAGATTCGCGTCAAATTCGGTGAGAAGGCTGAGGAACGTACAGGCAATCATATGGTCAAAGAATTTTGAAAATCGGCCGGTAACAACTTGAGTTATGAGTGTGTAAACACAAAATTGTGATTGCCGCGTTTCCCGCGTCGGCCGATCCCGCTTCAGCCGGCGACATCTTACCCTTAGCAGGCTTCTTACTGCCATATTTATTGTTGGATTATCTAGAAATTCACCATACATACTCACAACTGTTTGTTCTTTCGTATAGTGAAAGATTAAAGAAAATCGGTCGGTAACTTTTTGAGTTATCGGCGTGTAAACGCAAAAAAGTCGCTAATATGGCAGATTTGACCACATTTGACCCCATTTGACCTTGAAGATATTGACCTAGGGTCATGAAATTCACACACAACATATTTCCCCATGGCCCCCGCCTACCCTCCAAATTTCGTTATTCTAGCTCCAGTGGGAGCTGAGATCTTAGGGGGGCGACATCCGCCCCCCCCTTCCACTGGGCGTAGTAGGTACTCGCAACCCTTCCACTGCGCGTGTTAAAGCGAATGAAAAAGGGCGAGCAATTTCGATGCATGAAAAAGCTCAAAACCGACCTTGAGGAAAATGGAGAGGAGCTCCTGCCTCCTGCGCCGCTGTTCTTCCTCCATGGCTGCCTTCTTCTCGAGGAACTTCTGCTTTTCTTCCTCAGACAACTTGCTGAACTTCACCCCTTTCTTTGACCTGCGTTTAGGAGGCATGGCGAGCACGAAAGGAATTAGGAGAGGGGAATGCTGCAGAGGTTAAGAAATTATGCTGTGAGAGGTGGCCCGATTGATGAAATAGGATTCGCAAGAACTTTGAAGAAAAATGTGAGGAAGACGAGGGAAACGTCCGAAAAAGCAGTCAGAATGCGAAGCTCATTTCATATTTGAAACATTGAACGCATAAATAAAATGCAATTTACTTAGCATAATGCAAACTGTAAGCCGCAAGAGTGCCGACTGGCGACTGCCGCCTCAACTCGCGACAACTCAGGCATCATTTAAAGTGAACTGCAATATGTTATACATAGATTTAGGTGGTCAGTGAGCCATACATGTCATGATCGCAAATATACACATCCATGCCAATAAATAGGCACTGGCACCTACCTTGAGCTGCCTTGACCGTTGACTTCTTATACCGTGCTTTCGTCAACAGCGGCACACCGACACGGGTCCCAACTCACAAATGGCGTCAGTAAATCACTAGATTGATTAATTGATTAAATTACAGATGCGTTCGCAGTTTTTGGCGAAAAACACAAAAAACAAATTTAATCGCAGCTCACAACCATTCAAACTGCCACGCTTTATACCTTATCGTCTGCTTCTTTTCCGGCGTTCTGCTGCCAAGCCTCCCACGACTGGCTGACGACTGGCGCGGTTTCCGGTTTCCGGTCCTACACAGTTCACAGCCACTGCCAGGCCACTGCCACTTCACAGCTGACTGTTGCTAGGCAACTCAAGAGTATTTTCCTCATATTAGTTTTTAAAATTATTATTTTTGCTTAAACTGTTTTTAAAAAAGTTTATTTAATTCCAAAATGATATGAATATTTGATACTTTCGGTATTTTTGGTGCAAAGCTGCAATCAAAGAAAGACGAAGCAAAAACCAGGGCAAAAACAATCCAGAATTAAAGATAAAAGGCAGTCATTGCGCAGCTCATTCGTGAAGTGGCGCATTTTGAGGCTGAGTGGATTGTTTACAAACTGTGTGAGCGAAGGTCTTGTTGAAGGTGAGCGCTAGCGCAGTCAGCCATTGCTTTTCTGGGCGGTGGATCGTGAGGGGCCGAGTTGGTGGGTTGCTGAATACCTGCTGTGTGGCGTGTACCTACTACATACTTACTTACATACTTCAACAGATTTCAAGTCTAAAACGAAAGATCTCTGCAAGCTGCGAAAATGATGTCCAGAAGGCGTGTCGGGATTGTTGGCTTCGGGAACTTAGGTGAGAGCTTTGATATGTTTTTCTCTTGTAAAAAACGTGGTTAAATATTTTGAGAAAATACAGTTGAGTGAGGCAAAACACTTAGAGTTTAAGTGCTAATAAACGAAATGTGTGGATGTGTTTTGCTATTTTGTCTCATGTACAAACAAAAACCTGCATCAATTTTTAATTTATGCAAAATATATTAATGTTGGGTGAGTCACCAGAGGATATTGAACAAGTGCTTGCTTTTCTAGTGTTAAACCAGGTGAGATGCGTGCATTCACATTGATACCAGCAAGCTAGATCTTGTTCCACTTTTTATTCAGCCTCATTTATTGATTGGAAAGCAATGCTCAATGATAAAAGTTGATGTTATGTCCTTTGACAAAACCATTATTGGCCTAATTAAGGACTGTTATACTCAATTGACCCTTATTTATTAGTCTAACAGGGTAGGTATTTATATTCATTTTTCTGTTTTCAGGGCAGAGCATCTTCAATGCCATTCTGAATGAGCCATCATTGGAGGTGGTATTTGTATGGAACCGAACCAAGGATGTTCTGAGGGGCATAGGTGGCTTAGCTCTAGATAATCTGGAGCAGTTTGCTGAGAGGGAGCCTGATCTGGTTGTTGAGGTAGCTCATCCATCCATAACAGCTCGGGTAAGTGGCTGCTTCATGTGGTGAATTAGACATTGGCCGGGACTGTTCATGTACTCTCTGCTTAAACTGTCAAGCTGGAGAGTTTGTTACTGGTATTTTTGCTTAAACCACCTTTAAGGTAAAAAACAATTTAACATTGTGTAACATCTGCCACAAGCTTAAGTGCCAGACTAAAGTTGAAGCTATCTTTTCTATCATTTGCATTTCCTATCTATTTGTATGCCTCTTAATACTCTATTTACCTCTCTACTACCTGTAAATGAATATTGTTGCCACATTAGAAGCAAGAGACGACTTTTTTATATTTGTACCACAACAGAGGCTGTGATGTTTTTGGGATCAAACAGACATGTACACCAAAAACTTGAATTAATTAGGAAATCAGACAGCCCCCTCAATGGCTGCAAAATAAGCTAAAATTTAGAAATGTCAAAGGCATTAGTTGCACATTCAGATTTAGCTTAGTATCAGACACACCTTGGTAAATACTAAATATGTAGATGAAATGCAGTGAAGATAAAAACGTAATCTTATCTGACCCAACCTTACCTACCTAACTAGTAACTACATCCTTGAACCTACCAACCTACAACCTACCAACCTGCAACCTACCAACTTAACAACCATACCTCATCTACACTTGATCTACACAAATACCCCGCACCTTTTTTGCTAATTTGAAATAATTGATTATCTTACTCAAAATAAATGATGATAATTTTAGTTGAACTTTTGGCTTTGTACCCTTTGCTTTGTTTAATTCATGCGGGCAGAACTTAGCCCTGCTTTTCTCAGTGTGCTTAGCCATACATGCATACTACATAGGTCATGGCTGACTGTATCTGTGTCTGCACTGTTCCTCTCCATTTATGACTCCCCCATTGCCTGCACATGGTGACAGTACGGCGCGCTGTTCCTGTCTGTCTGCGACTACCTGATCGGCTCTCCGACGGCGCTGGCCGACGGCCTACTGGAGAAGGGACTGCGAGACGTAGCCTCCACATCCGGACACGCCATCTACATCTCCGCCGGCGCGCTCTGGGGTGGCGAGGACATCAAGAAGATGGCCGATCTGGACACACTCAAGGTAACGGACGGATAGATGATAATGGTCGGATGTCTGGGCTAGGGGAGCTCCAACACGTCCTTTCCGTCCGTCCTTTGTTCGGTTTGTCCGGTAGCTCAGTTTGTTCGGTAGCTCGGTTTGTCCTACTAGCTACAGTTCTCTAACTCTAACTCTACTAAACGAGAGAACTCTACTAGCTCAGTTAGTAGAGTGATAACTCCCGGCAGTGAGAGCCCGGGTTCGAGACGCTCCGGCACTCGCTATCATGAGACTCCTGACGACGATGGTTTGCAGTTGGTGGGAACAGCTGTAGTCACTTCAAGTCTGTTGAGTGGGGTGGACTGTGTTCTGCTTTGATAGACAGCCACAAGCCGTCAAAGTTCTCCCGTTTCGCAGAATTTCATGATGGGATGGTAAGTGTGCTGAAAGTGTACACCGTTAGAGACCGGATGGCGAGTGACCCGCGAAAATCAGTTTCATGTCTCATTTTGCACAATGCACATGTGCGCGCGCAGAGCTCACTACTGTGCCCTCTCGTTCGTCACCCAGAATGCGTTTTACTGGGTGAAAACTATACACAATTCGCACGATGGCCTTGTACAGTGCATGATTCCTCTATATCACCCATGTAAAATGTTCTATCTCCTATCAACTTTGCGAATGAGACGTTGGATTATTGCTCTTCCCTTCATGCAAACGTCTACATATGAGCTAAATCCACACCATAAAACCGTCTAGCACAACATAGCCGGACATGATGTCACTTCCTCTGATATACGCGTCCGTCACGCACAAGACCGCCCACGTCTTTATCGGCAGTTTATCCACGCAGATTTACCGAGAGCACTGTGTGGGCCATAACTCCGCAAAGGCAACATTCCATTGGGCTGTAGTCGGCGCCTATCCGGCGCTCATTACGGGAGTTTGGTTCGGTTTATTTATGTTTCGTATACTGTTTCGGAGTATGACCGGACACACTGCGCCGCGGACAATACCCGTCCTCTCGGACATGGGACAGCAGTGTCCGTGTCCTTGGCCGAACGGCGGACATCCAGGAACGCCCGTTCCAGGAGCTCCATGTGGTGCACTAGACGGCCAAACTAGCGTGTGGTGCCTCTGCTGGCCGAGGTAGTCCGTACATGTCACGTCGATAGGTCTTTGGTCAAGTCGTGACGTTGATGCTTTTGGATGAATTTAGGTAATTTTCATTCAAATTATCACGATGATCCTCACTACAATACCCTTGGTGGTTTATGGACTCGATACGTTTTTGTCCCTTAAAGTGCTTATCATTCAAATCTTCTTCCTCTAAATATTCTGCCTCGTCCACGTGCAGCCCTGCTGCCCCTGCCTGTCAGGGTCTGTGTATGGCTAGCTGTAAGACCCTGCTGACACACCCCGCCCCGCCAGTGGCTGCGTGTGATTATCTGAAATCGGACCCTGCCGACACCCCCGCCCCTCCGCTCCGCCAGGGTCTGCGTGTGACGATGTGAAATCGGACCTGCCCTGCTCACGCCCGACTTATCTCCTTACCAGGGTCTGCGTGTGACGATGCGGAAGCACCCGGAGTCGTACCGTCTGACGGGTCAGCTGGCCGAGCTGGCCGCCGAGGCCGCCGATTCTGACCAGGAGGTGACCCTGTACGAGGGACCGGTGCGCGAGCTCTGTCCGCTGGCGCCGCACAATGTCAACACAATGGCGGCCGCCGCGCTGGCCGCGCACAACCTCGGCTTCGACGGCGTCATCGGCCGGCTGGTCGCCGACCCCAGGTCAGTGCGGAGTTGCTGAGGTCATAGGGGGACATTAGGGTCAGAGCGAGGATGGGTCAGAGAGAGGGCCAGGCGAACCCTGATTCAGCGTACGGGCATCGGATCAGAGGTAGCCTGATGTCAGACCTGACATCAGGTCTGACATCACACATGATGTCAGACCTGACCTCATGATGTCAGACCTGACACATGATGTCAGACCTGACCTGACCCACCTGTGGGTAACGCCAGGTCAGAAACGATAATTGGATGGCCGGGAGAAAGAAATAAATGCCCATTTTTTAAAGGCACAACATACTGCGCTTTCGGGCTTCGTCGTGTCCTCGTCTGCCAGTCCTCTTCTCCCACCGTGCCTGGGTCTTTCACGTCTTCTCGTGTGCTTATGTCTTTTGTGGTTTCTATGTGTCCTCATCCGTTAACCATCTTGGCCTCTTACCTATTTCGTGTGCGTTTTCTTACCCTACCATATCTGTGTCTGCTGGCAGCATCCCGGACATGCACATTGTGGAGGTGGAGGTGACCGGTCCGGGCGAGCCGGGAGCGGAGTTCACCGTTCGCACCGTGAGGAACAACCCGGCCGCGCTGGGTGCCGTCACCGGCGCCGCCACGTTCTCGGCTTTCATCTCCAGCGTCCGGCGTGCGCACGGCCGCGGCGCCGGCGGCATCCACCTCTGCTGAGCGGCGTCCGGACGGAGCGCTACTGCACGCCGGAGATGTGCGTTCGAGACTGCCCAGGACCGTCCAGTCTTCCATCCGCGGTTCTGGCACCTCAATGTGAGTGATGCTCGTATGGAGCGGGAGCCACTTGGAACTTTTGGATCTGAGTTTATTTCTGTCTTCGGAGATGTCCTTCCGTTTGGTTTTGATGGCCCCGAAGTGCGGTGGAATGTCTGGGGAACGACTTGCGCGGCTTCGTTTGCTCTCTGACGTGTAAAAGGCATGCCACTTGCGATTTCTGCTCGTCTTTCGAAGCACGGTCTTTACAAGATAGTTGCTCATATGGCTTGTGCCGGTGATGTGGCCGCGTACTCGGTTGATCTGTCTCATCGAATCCTCATTGTTCTGACAGGTTACCTATCTCGAAATTAGGGTCGTTCAGTCCGTAGTATTGTAGTAGTGAGCTAGTGAGTAGTTTGTGTGGGAATGGGCTAGTGAGCGGCGTTATAAAGTGCACATTTTCTTCCTCAGAGCGATATCACATGCTCTTTAAACCGGCTTGTCACAAGCGGTCGGGAGTTCGCCAGACTCCCGAGTCAGGATAGATGTGGAGCGAGTCAGGCTGTTTAGCTGAGCAGTTGCTGTGTCGTAGAACTAAGGTCACTCCACGGAAGTTTGCTAGATCCGTTGTGTAGAACAATAGGGCCTCAGTGTTGCTGGCGGTAGCTGCCACTGCTCTACTGGCTCAAGCGACACTATTTGCTTGCATATCTTGGCACTGTGCCGGCCCCCCGGCCTTCTACTGCACGCCACGGGCACGCGCGCTTCTAGACCGGCCTGGACCGGCCGGCAGATACCGGTGCTTCCTAGACTGCCTACCAGAGTCAGTGTCCTGCCAGTTCCGTCTTCAGTCCTGTATACGGTATGCGTATGACTTGATGCAATGTGCAATGCTTACAGCGGTGCTATGTCAGCGGCTAAGTTAGGTGATAACTTAATCGCAAGTCAAAGCAATACAGTCTCGTGTTTCTACAACAATGTTAACAGATAGTGGTACAATGTAATCTGGGCATATTTATTTGGAGCCGGAATGCCCTAGCTTGCCAGGTGCTTGGAATGAATATGATCTGATTATCATGGCTCTTCCCACCGTCGTTTTTCTATCTTTGTAGTGAGTATCTCTCTCGTATTGTGCCTTGGAGGACTGTCAGCATTGTGTCGTAGTGCCAAATGCATTCCCAGGGCTGATTTTCATCGACTGAGTACGATCCCAACATCCCACCGCCCAGCGGTGCGGCTTCCCGGAAGACTTGTTTCCCTTTTGGGATTGTGTTTTGTACAGCGTGTTCTCGGCTGTCGACTTTGTCGTCGCTTATCCGCGTGAATTATCGGGGTGTGCAATGTGCAAGCTTTGCTAATAAAGTCAGTTTTTGCGGTACTATACCTTTTCTTAATTAGAGAATTGCAATGCAATCTCGCGTCTTTGAAGCCCACAGGCAATGTAGGTAGCCTCCACAGCGATGCGTCTTTGGCGATTGACCCCAGATAAATAAATCATGAACAAGAATGCGTTCATTGCATGTAAATGTCACCCTAAAGGGAGCCGGGCCCAGCGACTCTCTGCTCCACCGCGCGCACCCGTGGCTGAAGTGCAACATCCATTACCAGACTATCGTCGCGGTCTGCGCCTGACACAAGTTTGGGCGTGGCCTTTGCGCGCCAGAGCTGTTATAAATCCAGGTTCGTCGGTACATATGTGTTTGCGGTGCGCCTGATAATATCTAAATTTGATCGAAAAGCCGGCTATTTTCGACCTAGTTTTTGGTAAGATCAGAGAAATTACTAACCGACATTCAGCTCGTTAAATGATCAGAAAAGACCTGGTTAGGAGCGTCACCATACTGTATCGATGAAATCAAAATCATGAGCATGATTTGCGTCTTGACATGCTTGTCACAACTCACGAGTCAATAGAGTTACGCAACACAGACATTGTAGTCTACTATAGTTCACATCGTTCGCAAGAGCTTCACTCAATAACTTATCACATGACAATGAATTGTACGCGTCACTTGCAAGTTGTACACACTTGATCACTTGAGATCAAGTGTCACTTGATTGCACACTTGGTACGCGTCACACCTTTCTTCCCTATCTCTTTGCGCTCCAGTTTGGCATCTTGAAGCCGGAGTGGATGGCTACGACACCGAACGTTAGGTTCTCGTAGGTGACGTGCCCGAATCCGGCCGAGCGGATCATCTGAGCGAACTCCTCCTGAAAGGGTCCGGGCCGGGGACGCTGTCAGTGCTGTCGGCACGCCACAGCTGCGGGATTGTCACGGTGGGATCGGGGGAGGGGCGACACGGGCCACGACCGTGATCAGTGATCACTGGCTGATCAAAGGGGATTGGGCATTTGGAGGGAAGAGTGTCTTTCATCATACTGTGGGGAATCGTCGAGTTTGCCGACATCCTCACAGAAAAAAAAAAAAAATACAGCACATATCGAAGAAACTTATCACAATTGTAAAACACGGGAAGGGATGGAGCGAAAACTCTGGAGACCCAATATCGTGGAATGAATTTGCGGGGATCGAACAACGTCTTGTTTATGACACATAGCTGTGTTATATTCGTCTCCCTGGATCGGCCATTGGCCACCTCCGTGCCCCCAGCGTGCCCGGAGGGATCTCCGTTTCTCTGTCTGGGCGCAGTGATAGATCACTCCTCACGACCACTCCGGCGCTGGCCACGGGCCAAGCGGCAAACAGCTGATGCTCTGAACGAGGCGCCGGGGAGGCATCAAACTATCAGGCCGGTTAGAAACAGTCCGGGGAGGGGATAGGAGGGAGGGGAGGGGCCACGGTATTATTTACCACACCAGCGCGGCGGGCAGCACAGACGCCACAATGTCAGGCGTGTGGGAAGGGCGACTGTATGTTGTCGACTGGCGTGACACACTCCGGGCTGTTTCTGAGGTTCGTGCCAGGTATGCAGACTGATTACTCAGTAAACAAAACCAGTGCGGAGCACATTCTTAGTGGTGTGATCTTAGACTGTCGGCAATGTACAATAGGTGAAATGACAAACATACCCTCTCACAAACTAAGTACTTCATTTATTTACCGTGCTCACTCATATTTCAAATAATACCGACTGCGAATGATCTTGGCTCCACGTAACTTCACAGAAAAGAAAGCCCAACCTCTCAAGACGACATAGCCGCCACACCGGTACGCGGCGATGGGCGTCCACGGTGTGTTCTTACCTGTGCGGGAAACCGTCGGATGCTCTCTACCAGATACTGGTAGGACTTCCAGTCGCCTGCCAGGACTGTGCCCATTGGAGGGATCACTTGGAAGGAGTATTGGTCGTACGCCCTGGAACACCACAGATCGAGTTATACTGGAGTGATATCGATCGATCGGATATTCAAGACGGCAGTGGCGAATATCTGAGATAGCAGGGACACGCGATCTGGTTTCCAGTCGGTGCTTTAGTCGCTGAAAAACAAGCATTCAATTTGACGTTTTGTTATGATGATGCTGGCCGCAATATGTTTGGGATCGTATAAACTTTTGGTGCAGATCATACGAGCCGCAACAGCTATTTATTATTACACCACGCTAATTATTGCAAACTAGCAATCCATTATCTTCAACACCTCCCATTACCAACACCCTCAACAGCTATGCCAATTGCCAATACAATTATGTAACGACGCACCATCGTATGAGCGGGTTGGGAACGTGGCTGAACTCGAGGCAGAGGAACCGTCCGCCGGGTCTCAGCACGCGGTACGCCTCAGCCAGTGCCTGCGGCAGATACCAGGGCCGGGGGGGGTCATCTGGGCGCCAGCTGGCCCGCCAGTTTTACAGAAATGGCTAGAGACGGCCTCTGTTCCTGGAACTCAAACGACAAGACGGAACAGATAAACAAATATTAGCTTTACCCACTCAGCGAGGGCTCCAAACGAACAAGTGATGAGTAAGCATCAGAGCACCAGCAAGCTCAAAGCATCAGAGCATCAGCATCAGGTAAGCTCGAAACGGACTCCAAGCAAGGCACAACATTTTTGACGGTAACTGCAACGCAAAATAAAGCTGAAAGTACTAAGGTACCGAGTGATCATCAACAAATCCTCAAAGGGCCGCTGCCCCGAACCTCCTACGGACTCCGGGCTCCAGTGTAGCCATCTACCGGCCACTAACCCGATCAATGTGAGTCACGTTCCTGATGCCAAAGGCGATCGTGTAGGCGTCAAACTCTCCGTCTTCAAACGGCAGCCGTTCCGCGTCACCCTCCACCCAGCGGAGTCGGTGTTCGATGCCGGCCTCTCGCGCGCGCCGCCGCCCCTCCTCCAGCATGTCCGCATTGATGTCGCAGACGACCACCGTCGGGTCCGAGGGCGGCGTCACGTCCACCGGCTCGTCCAGCTCGATCGGAGCTACTCCCAGACGCGCCGCCTCTGCTTCCAGATCGACATCGACAGCAGCCGGCTCTACGCCGCCAACCTCGCCGGCCTCTCCGGCCGACAGGTCGGCGTGGGTCAGATACCGGAACGCCACATCACCTGGGAACGCGGCCAGGAGAGCTGATATACTGGTCGCCGGGACTGATGAGCTGTCTGTCAGCGCCGCCCGGCGGTGAGGCGCCAGAGCGGTGAGTCAGGGGCGATATCCAGGGTCAGGGGTCGTCGCCGACTGAGCGTTAAAAGGCCGGCGCCGGTAGAATATTATCACAGTGCTAATGGATGTGTAATGTCGCGCTAGATTCTACAAACAGAGCTGATTGATCAGACAAAGCTGAGCAAAGCTGCCGAAATATCAACTTCAAACAAATATGCGTCATTGCTGGCTTCTGTGCGCCCAACGTTTAGGCAAAAAACAAAAAACGACACCGAAACGTTTATCCACTAGATCATTTGATTCCCATTCCAGATGGAGGCATGGGAACATCTGATAAAATTTTGTTCTTGTACCTAAGTTTAACAGAACTTGTGTTATGCATGATGCATCGACGAAAACGTCACTTATTTTGAAACACTCCAGACAATCACTTCTATACAGAAAAATGTCACTATTTTGCCCCAGTTATTTTTCACGCCGTGTTCGGCCGCCCATTGTCCTCACCTGTACCACCCGCGACATCTAGCAGTTTGGTCCGGTGGGAGGGCCGCAGTCGTCTCATCAAGGTGTCCTTCCAAAGCCGGTGGGTGCCGAAACTCATGGCGTCGTTCATCAGGTCATACTTCGCCGCTACGCTGGAGAAGACCTCGTGAACTGAAAAGTAGGTGCCAGTTTCATAGGTGGATCTGGACTTGAACTGAACACACTGCCATCTTCCCTCAACACTAGTAGCCAAACGTCACACAGTTGAGCCTCTTTAGTTGCGTTTTAAGATGGCAAAATCGATGCTAAATACTTATTACATAAACCACCTTAAGAGGCATGTCTCCATTTCTACCTGACTTTCAACAAGACTGTTTCAATAAACTGTAAAAAAATAACTAGGTATGCAGCCACAAACTTCAACATACAGTGTACAAATCACCTCACCTTTTCCTGCCTTCTCCTCTTCCTTAACTGTGCTATAACCAAAGTGGGTGGATGAAGCATTTTGTGAGCAGCATCTTTTGGCATGTGCTAATGTGAGTTGCCTTTGCAGCCACACTGCCATCCATGAAGACTTCACAACTCTGAAAGAGCACTGCATTCTGTCTGGCGAATATCACCTGCAAAGTGAGTCACCACAGTCAAAATCAATTATACGAGCCACATATTGGCGGTAAGGTATCTCACATTCGCTGGGTCTTGGATATCAGTACAGAAACATTTACAGGAGTTGCGGCGAGTTCAGGAGATAGCCGGCGGCAGGGACGAGGGGAAACGAGACAGGAGGCGCCCAGAGACCAAAAATCGAATGCCGGCTTAGTTACAACGGCACATGGGACTCAGATAACCACTATAAAATTACTTTTCCCACCGCTACAACAAAACTGGAGATGAATTGCCAGACCAACATGATTGGAAAGCCAAAAAAAAGGAGGATGGGAGAAGTAGACTTAACCCACGCCCGGTTGGACTTGGGCCTCTTAGCCAACTTCGCCAGGTGGGAGGGGGTGAAGACATAATTGGCCACACCAGAGCTGTGTTCGCACCCCGTTTATTTATCAGCAGGCTGCGACCATGCTGCTACTTTTTGGCTCCTCATTGGTCGAATTCAAGTGGTCTATTCGTTAGACCAATGAGAGGCCAAGCTGCGCCAGCAATAACTTCCTGATATAAAAACAGCGGGCGAACAGGGCCCTGGTCATTTTGGAAAGTAGCTTGAAAGACACTGAAAAAAGATGGGTTCTCGCCCAAGTCAGATATTTTCTTTGACCCGATCGGGCAGCTCAAGCGAGAGGTGTCAGCATACGTTTCAACTCTGATATGCATTATGAGATGGAGTAGGCCTCTGTCAGATGCAAAGGAGTGGCGTGTGAGTGGGGGGGAGGGCAGTGTAGTTATGCATGTGTATTGTGTGTGCATGTGACTTCACCTGTCATTAGATGATTAGGCATAGGCCTGTTTGTGATTTATGAAAATAGAAAAATGCAAGAAAAAATCAGCAGATGGCTCATTACAAGATCTTTCAGAATTATCCAAGTCCTTTTTAATTGATCAAGTCATTGCTGAGGTGACTGGAGGTCACCAAAAATAAAACTGCCATGAATTTGTTCCTCGATTTTGACAATTTTCACCAATTGGTCTATGACTCTGGAACAAATAGAGCCACAGCACTGCAGAAAACTCATTTGATGGCTCTATCAAAGCTCTTTCAGAATGATGATACCAGATTTGAACTAGGTCAATGGTTTGACCTCCAGGGCCCTGTTTCACTGGTGAAAGCAGCTAAGCAGCACGCTGCTATGAGTCTATGACACGTGTCAAATTGGGTTTCTATGGAGACGTCATTGTCAACAAGCCTATCCCTCCAACACTAACAGAAGTGTGACATCAGCTCGCGAAATGGAATATTCCATTTCACCGGTGATAGCAGCACATGCTGCTATCACCGGTGTCAAAAGTTTGCCAACATGATTTCGAAGTTTTACGGTGTAGTCCAGTGTACCCGCCACCTGGCCTGTACTCGGCAATATTGTGGAGGTCAAGTGTCACCTGATGTCAAAAGTTTCCAAAACTTGATGTTTTTGAGGAAAATGTTTTTCTGCAATAACTTTTAACACAAAGCTTGGTCCTTGCATTATGCTGATTTTACAGACATAATGTTTGTATTGTGATGCCTGAAATGGGCTATAAGTTGACCTGAAAAGGTCAACTGGAAAAATTTGCCTCAGGTCAAAGTAGAAAAGGTCATGTTGCAAATCACTAGAAAATATTTGCATCATCAAGCTAAACCCACTTAATTAAAAGTAAAAATTAACCAGCCACTGGCCGCAATATCAAAGAAACACGGAGCCTTGCACACAGAAGCAGCGGAACGCCTTCAATTACGGGGGGGGGGGGGGGGACCTGACGACTTTTGCCTTGGTCCCGTTCTTTCCATGCAACGCCCATAATAGGGCTAATGATAAAACTGAAACGGCAAAATCAAGGGAGGACACCCGGTACCGGGTACCTACGGTGCCTGCTTGCACGGAGCTTAGACCTTCACAAGATTCCACAGCACTGCTAATTAGTCTCGTGATTAGAATACTTTGACTTCGGCTACTCGTAGAATTTTTCATCAATTATATAATGCATATAATGATACACAACCAGCTTCACTGTAAAATGTAAACAGTCTTGATAAGCAAAGTTTTATATAGCAGTAAGACAGTCTAGCTAGCGAATTTCGGACCTTATCGACCGACCTCGGCCCCCGCCGAAGTTAGTTGGTAGCACTGCTGCTCCACGGCGTACATTTCCTACCAGCCCATAGGGTTTACGTGTTAAATGGCCTGTTTTCGGCGAGCGATATCTCGGTCAACCTTTGAAGGAATCGATGGTTCTTAGTCTCAAATGATAGATCGATGAATTTTCTTTCGACAATTCCTCTACCATTTTTCACGAAACCCAGCCGATCTTCTACGGCGTACAGGGTAAAGATTTCTCTGCACGCCAGCACCCGCGATCCGCCTCTCCGATCGTCGGCGCGCGTTCCTCGGTAGCGCAGTCGGTAGCGTATCGGGCTACGGACCCGAGGGTCGTGAGTTCGAATCCTGGGAGCGCCACGTGATTTTGGCTATAATTGTATGATGTAGATTCTTGAATGTTTGCATTATCAATTATTAATAGCTAATTGAATGTATCTGCCCACTAATCGGCCCCTAAAACCTGTTATTTAAGAAATTTAAGAAATGAATGTCACGTGCGCGTCACGACTGCCAACCATAAGCGCTACCATATTCTAGTTTGAACTAACTTTTTGCTAGTCCCGACCACATATAGTAGGTTTTCTAGTAGTTATACTAGAAATTCCTACCAAAGTTCGTCCTACCCTTCTGGACCGACCTGCGACCACTGAACTCAATTATCGGGGTTACATGAGCACAGTAAATACGTATTTAGCCGCTAATTCGAATAAGGAACGCATTACCGACTCATGTAGCCACCTGCTAGTACGAATTGGCGATCCGATCCGCGGTTACATGAGCAAAGCAAATACGTATCACGATCGGATTCACCGCTAATGCGAATCAGGAGCGTACTACCGACTCATGTATCCACCTGCTAATACGAATCGGCGGTCCAAACAAAATCCGCTGAGAAAGAGGGACACGCCTAAGAGCTGGACTTTTTGATGACGTCTTCGGGTGACGTCATGTCGTGTGTGACGTTTCGTGAGCAGGTAAGGAAAAGTCACCACCGCTGGCGAACATTGGTGCGGTAAATGGCAAACACAAATACTGCGCAGAAAAGACAAATGTGTAACTTTAGACCACGTTAAACGCAGTTCACACTTGACCGTCAGTCTGTCGGTGTCGGGCCCGTCACCGTCGACCTGACGGCCTGCAGCCCGTCGAACGAAAGTTGAGATTTGGTAGCTCACATTGGCTGCCATATATTGTGACAGAAATGGCGCACCATTTTCGAGATTGACGCAGATGGGGGAAGGGGATGGGAGGCCGAGAGGTTAAAATATTATTTGAATTACAGAAATAAAATACCACGCATTTACATTTTTATGTCAAATATTGCTGAAATTTTATTTAAATGAAAGACACATAGGTTCGCTGATTTAAATCAGGGATCGAATCTCAAAATATCGTGCCGTAATAAACACTTTCATCTAAAAAATGGATGGAAATTGGTATTAATACTCTTAAAAATGCATATAAGCTTAATGCTGCATGAGAACGTTCCTTTTCCTCTTCCTCCAACACGCAGATATTCAAACCGACGGGCCCGTCACCGTCAAAAGTTGAACATTGCTGAACTTTCCAAAGCGACGGCCGTCAGGTCCGGCGCCGGCGCAGTCAGCTGTTGCCGACCGTCAAACGCTGCCGGTTCACACATGCCCGTCGACCTGACGGCCGTCGCTCCGTCAGATTCGGCCGTTTTGACGGTGTCGGGCCCGTCACCGGCAGACCTTACGGGCAAGTGTGAACTGCGTTTTAGACAACATTCGTTCGGACGACAATAGTCAAGGCGAATCAAGAAGTTCTTCATGCGATTGTTAGTTAGGTATCTGTCGTGCTATTTTAGTATGATTGTTATTAGCAGTTGATTTGTGAAATGTATTATGAAAATCAATGTTTATTGGACGCAGATTCAGTTTATTTTCAGATGTACCTAGGTACTCTTACACTTCACTCATCTCAAGTTGTTCAAACACCCTTGACAAAGTCGATTAAGATGAAACGTTGGGTATAATTTATACTGTGTTTTCTCTGCATTATTAACATATTCATCATATATACAATATAAGGACCACATGTTTTTTACAGGGAGACATGTCAGACAGCCCAGTAGGATGAGGCTTCGCCAAGCGTCATTTTTAGCAAAGCTTTTCTTGCCTCAAAGTTATAATGACAACACTCACTGGGAAAATGGTGATATGATATTATTTTAATGGCCATTGAAAATTCTGTATGTCAGATTTGATATTCCGAACAGCTGTTTGGCAAGATTTTTTCAGTACCTTAGTAATCCACTTTGCTAGAGTACTTTTGTGCGCTTTTACGTGAATGCATCCATTTCCCCCTGAAATAAACTTTTATAGTGATATCAAGCATCTTTTTCATTGTGTTCAAACTTTGAATTTCAGCGCCAAATGCTGGCTCTGTTCAACCTTGGACCCCCATTTACAACAACCAGAATCAAGATTCTTTGTCTTCTTTTAAGAACTGCCGGAATAACTTTCCTATCTTACTTCCCGTAACCTGAAACTTGTGTTTTCTCCACCAGGGTGCAAAATTGGTATAATGGTGGTCAAATTTGATTACCATGACATCATCACCGTAGTCATACTTAGCAAAGCTGTAGTCAAAAACAGCATTGCTAAAAATGACCACTCTTGACCAACCAAACCTCACCCCACTGAGTTCAAACACCCTTGTCAAAAGTCCTTACACTTGACTCCCAGCTGTTGTGTCTTTGCTATGCAATGTTAAACATATAAAACATCTTACTATTCATGAATGCGCCATGACTCATGTAATCTTTTCACAGCCAAGACGCTACTAAGGTACTGGGAATGTGGGGAGTGCAGCAGCATCAGTGCAGCACCGATGGTCGGATGCGACGGCTGCGATAAATGGTACCACTTCCGTTGTGCGGGGCTGACTAAGGAGCCAGGTAAGCGCAAATGTTTTCTGTCTCAGTATTTTTGTTGCAGCTATAGTGATCAATGAAATATTTTCCGCACTGTTCAGCCAAACATGTATTTCAAACAATCAGAATCTGCTTCCCAACCAAGGGCGTCACCACAGGGGGGGGGGGGACAGAGGGGATCTCGTCCCCTCCACTTTTTAAAATTTTAACATTACGCCCATGGCGTTGCATGGAAAGAATCGACTTGAAATGGTCCTTGTCCCCTCCAAAATGGTCAATGTCCCCTCCAGTTGTCGCACCGTGGCGTCGCCCCTGTTCCCAACTACACAAATTTAGTCAAACAATGTGCCAATATGGAATTTTCAGGTTGAGTTGAATGAAATAGGAACAATGATAATTGTAGATTACGTATACCTGCAAGAGAGGAAAACAGAATACATTGTATTGCTTGTCCTTCACCGATACTGTTATTTTTCCATTTCTAGAAACACCGACATGGCGATGCAGGTGGTGCTGCCTGGTGAGGCCGCGGTCTCCGGAATCGCCTGCAGACGAAGTCACCTGACGTCCATCTGCACATCACTTGCAGCAGTGAGGCCTGCTGACAGCGTCTGGCAGTGTCGGCAACGTGCCAGACAGCTATCTGGAGTCCTGCTCACCGCAGGTCGCCGACAGGAGGGGCGACGCATCGTCTCCGAGGTCGCCTCAGCAGCAGTGAGACCCCACTGGCCGTCTTCTTAGGCTTCAACTAGATTGCGAACAACCTATGCTGAGACAACGCCCATGACGTGTGATCCGGTACCGCTACCGCACTGCGTGCCTGTGCCCGCCGTGAGCCGCTAGTGCATGGGTTCCGACGACCATGAGAATATGTGTTTATGTTGCTTTTACTATTGTTTATACGTTGAAGTGACGAATTGTTTATTTTTCGCAAGCCTCCGCTGTCCGGTTGCCTGCAGCTCCATGCAACGCTAGCTGTACTGTTGTTTTAATGTTGTCTCTCCGCTCAGCTCTACTGTTGCCTCTCCGCTCATAACAACCTATGCTGAGACAACGCCCATGACGTGTGATCCGGTACCGCTACCGCACTGCGTGCCTGTGCCCGCCGTGAGCCGCTAGTGCATGGGTTCGACCATGAGAATATGTGTTTATGCTGCTTTTGATACTGTTGTTTATACGTTGAAGTGACGAATTGTTTATTTTTCGCAAGCCTCCGCTGTCCGGTTGCCTGCAGCTCCATGCAACGCTAGCTGTACTGTTGTTTTAATGTTGTCTCTCCGCTCAGCTCTGCTGTTGCCTCTCCGCTCATAACAACCTATGCTGAGACAACGCCCATGACGTGTGATCCGGTACCGCTACCGCACTGCGTGCCTGTGCCCGCCGTGAGCCGCTAGTGCATGGGTTCGACCATGAGAATATGTGTTTATGCTGCTTTTGATACTATTGTTTATACGTTGAAGTGACGAATTGTTTATTTTTCGCAAGCCTCCGCTGCCCGGTTGCCTGCAGCTCCATGCAACGCCAGCTGTACTGTTGCTTTAATGTTGTCTCTCCGCTCAGCTGTACTGTTGCCTCTCCGCTCATATATGACACCCTCTATATGAATGGCACTACTGATTGTCACACCCACTGTCCGTATTGTCCGTAGTGGTGTCTGAGCAGTAATCGCCACGCACTTTCAGAATGTGGATCGCTCATGATTGTTCAATACAATACAATACAATACGCCCATGTTCATACAGCGCGCAGAATCCAGATTCTATTGAGGAGAGTTGAGCCAAGTCACCATAGGCTCGGGAAGAGAGCAACGTGGAGGCCCACTGCCCCTTCCCCGGCCCCCACTGGGGGCGCCAGCGCCCAGCCACTCAACTTTTGACTGGATGTCAAGAGCGTCGCCACGAGGGGAACGAGTCGCCGGCCAGCCAAGGTAGCCAACGGCGTGTGAAGGTTGCCTGACCTCGAGGAAACTGAGATGGCACCAACGGAGGTTTGTTAAGTAGGCGACCAAAATTCGAGCGGCAGCAATCTGGGCACCTTCACAGATAGCAGTGCCGCGTATCAGGGGCCAGGGCGCCTTCGACGTTTAGCTGG